TGTCAGAATGGCTGTCATCAAAAAGAACACAAATAACAAATACTGGTGAGCATGTGGAGAAAAGGGAACCCTTGCACACTGTTGGTGGGGATGTAAATTGGTGCAGCCACTGTGGAAAACAGTACTGAGATTTCTCAAAAAACTAAAAACAGAACCACCATATGACCCAGCAATTCCACTCATGGGTATATATCTGAAAAACCCCCCAACAATTTGAAAAGATACATGCACCCCAATGTTCACAGCAGCATTATTTACAATTGCCAAGATATGGAAACAACCTAAGTGTTCATCAACAGATGAATGGATTAAGAGGATGTACACACACACACTGTAATACTACTCAGTCATAAAAAAGAACAAAATGGATTTGCAGCAACATGGATGTACTTGGAGGGCATGATGCTAAGTGAAATAAGTCACACAGAGAAAGACAAATACTGTATGATATCACTTATATGTGGAACCTAAAAAATACAACAAACTAGTGAATATAACAAAAAAGAAGCAGGCTCACAGTATACGTATAGAGAACAAACTAGTGGTTACCAGTGAAGGGGGGCAATATGGGGCAGGGGGGAGTAGGAGGTATAAACTATTGGGTGAAAGACAGGCTCAAGGATGCACAATATTATGCAACATGGGGAATAGAGCCAATATTTTGTAATAATTGTAAAATGGAAAGTAACCTTTAAAAATTATATTTAAAATTTTTTTAAAAGGCATTGCCAAACAAACAAACAAACCATGGAGAGTTTTCTCTCTTTTTCCACCATGTGAGGATACAACAAGACAGCAGTCTACAACCTCAGGAGGGTTCTCACCAGAACTCAGCCATGCTGGCATGCTGATCTCTGACTTTCAGCCTCCAGAACTGTGAGAAATAAATCTCTACTGTTTATAAGCTACCCAGTCTATGGTACTTTGTTATAGCAGCCCAAACTAAGACACTTACCAAACTAGGTTAATGTATGTAAATGTACATGTACAAATACATATGCATATTCTTCTTTACCACCAAGGTGCTTCATATTTATATTGAAAGTAAAAACTGTTAAAACTTGTGATTAGCCCTATTTGTTTCAATGACACTCCTTGCTGATGACAAGATGAATGATAAACTAGTATTCCTATTTCTTTGGCTGGATTAGATTAAGAAACAATGAGAACCAAATAGGATTCATTTTATGTTCTAAATGAAGTGTTCCTTTCATTAACTTGCTTCTGAAATAATCTCATTAGAAAACAATTATTGTGCTCTTAGGACTTGGCACTACGCAGCGGGTGCTCCTTATTTTAATTCCTATGTTATAACGTCATTTCAAACTCAAACCAAATATAGTAGCAGTGCTGTTAGATTTACAGCTCACAGAAAACCTCACTGAATTTACAGTCACATGAATCCCAGCCTGTCAGCTCACTTCCTCAGAAGCACAAATCCATGTCAAGCCTCCAGCTGCAAAAAATATGCTCATAAAACACAAATCTGGGATCACTGTTAAACCAGGGAATTAGCTACTTGAGAAAGCACAACAAATTTTCTCATTTTAAATATGAAAAAACAAGGACCACTGTAAGACCAGTGGTAATAATACAAGAGACTTACATAATAATCTAATGCAAATAAAATGAAAGTGCATCTAACAGCCTTCGAATACTGGCTTACAAAGCATTAAGAGTGTTGCAAGAAGAACTTTTCAAAGAACATAATTTAGTTAAAATTTTTTTTTAGTTTAGAAAAAAGCACTCTGATTATTCAACTGAGTTGTAGCCAGCCTCTTTAAACAGTTACCAAATCCCCGGAGAAGAAAGGCAGAACTTAATTGAGAGAAGTACATGAAAACAAACTAACTAAATTGCCTCACACATTATGCTGAAGGCTCAACAATGGAATATTACTCAGCCATAAAAAGAAATGAAATTGAGCTATTTGTAATGAGGTGGATGGACCTAGAGTCTGTCATACAGAGTGAAGTAAGTCAGAAAGAGAAAGACAAATACCATATGCTAACACATATATATGGAATTTAAGAAAAAAAAATGTCATGAAGAACCTAGGGGTAAGACAGGAATAAAGACACAGACCTACTAGAGAATGGACTTGAGGATATGGGGAGGGGGAAGGGTAAGCTGTGACAAAGCGAGAGAGAGGCATGGACATATATACACTACCAAACGTAAGGTAGATAGCTAGTGGGAAGCAGCCGCATAGCACAGGGATATCAGCTCAGTGCTTTGTGACCGCCTGGAGGGGTGGGATAGGGAGGGTGGGAGGGAGGGAGATGCAAGAGGGAAGAGATATGGGAACATATGTATATGTATAACTGATTCACTTTGTTATAAAGCAGAAACTAAGACACCATTGTAAAGCAATTATACTCCAATAAAGATGTAAAAAAAAAAAAATCTCAATTCACTTTATACTTCCCATGAGTGTGAAAAATACTTTCATTAACATCATTCTTAGAGTAGGTTATTTTTCTACTTTAACATATACTTTCAAGTATGTTAAAATCAGACTTACAAAGAAGTATTAAAATATGTACTTAAAACACATTTAAATAAATAGCCTTCAAATAAATTCCACCAAGAGGTGGAATTTTTAATCAGGGTTTTCATAAGACCAGTATTTTGGTATGTACATGTATACAGCATGAAATACCCTTGTATATACTTTCTGAATATCATGTACACTTGGTCCCAAGCTGTAACAGTAAAGCATCTCTCAGCTCCATTACAGAATTGCCCCATTTTGGACTGACACCATTCTTTCAAAACTCTATTTAAGGGTAAGGAAGGGCATAAGGGTCATGAGAAATAATTGTCAAGACTTCCAAGAGGGTCAGGGAGAGAGCTTATCTTCAGCAGAGCTATGAACAGGCCATATCTAACAAATTAAAATTTAAAAATAAAATATTCATTTAAGTACAAAATAGCACCTGTACAAATATGGGTTTGGAACACATGATTTAAAAGTAGAATGTGAGAAAAGACAGGCATATTTGTCAAAATGGAGCTCAAAATGAGTTAAGAAGAATGGCACACCCAAAATCATTAAGTGTGGTCAAAGACAGCAGTGAGATAGATAGATATATGTATAACTGAATCACTTTAGTGTACATCTGAAACCAACACAACATTGTAAATCAACTATACTTCAGTAAAACAAAATTTAAAAACAAATAAGAGAAGAATAACCCCCCAAATTTTAAGGTTATAGATTTTAATTTGGTCATAGTTAACTACTAGGAAAAGAAAAACTACTCCTTTTTAAGACTCATAATGTGATCGCTGGGTAAAACAATGCACATGTATATTTCTCAAATTAAATAATCTAATGTAAATTTTTTAAAAAAGAAGTCTATTTCCATATAGGCAGATGGTAATCACACTACAGTGTGCACTGGTTAGACTATATAGTCATTTATGGTATTTAATTTACAAGAGGAACCCAAAACAATGAGGGGATCTGAATAAAGTTAACAAGAGATTCATTTCACATTCAACAAGCAGTTACTGAGCACTATTCCCAGGATATAACAGATTAAAAAACTGACAAGGTCTCAGGTTCTCATGCACTTTACATTACAATGTTGGCATCCTCCATCCCACCCTCCTACCCTTGGGAGGGTAAGAGAAAGACTTTTTTTAATATGAAGGTAGGTAGGATAGGATAGTACAATGGAAATAACATGGAACTTTGAGTCAGATGACCTAAATTCAAATCCTAACTTGATTATCACCTCAGCCTGTTTCCTCACCTGTAAAATACAGATGAAAACGATCACATGATTATAAGAATCAAATGATATAAAAAATATAAAAGCATTCTTTAAGCTCTGTTTATGTAAGAGGAGGATCAAATTTCTTCTGCAAGATTTCAAAGGATATAACAAGGTTTCACCAAAAGGTAGACAGATTTCAGCTCCATACAATTCAGGGCTCATCCAAGATGGAATGGGCTGTCCCCTAATATTACAGGTGATCACACATGGGCTTACTGGCCTCTTGGCAAAAATCCAGAAAAACACAGTAAGTTCACGTAACATGTCCACAGTAGTCACAGAGTATAATATCTGCTCTTACCCTCTCTGGGGAAGAAGCAAAACAAATGATTATGTTTAGTATTAAATATGTGCCAGATTAGTTCTTCTGTATGCATGATGCAGCTGAAAGGTGACTGTTATATCTGGATCAATCTGTCCAAGTCCCAGTTTTTCCATTATAGGTTTGGTAGGAGAATTGAAAAAGATAGTATAACTAACTGCCCACCATAAAGCAGCTTCAAAAATGTCATTTCCCTTTTCCTTTGCCACTAATAAACTCTGTTCATGTATGCTCAACTTTCATTATTTGCTATTCATAGAGCAAGGGTATCTGATTAAATAAGAAGGAAATACTGTTCAGCAAATATTATTTTAAAAAACAAATAATCACTAACACATTAAAAAAGATTCCGTTCAAAAAAATTAAGTTTGGGGCTTCCCTGGTGGTGCAGTGGTTGAGAGTCTACCTGCCAATGCAGGGGACACGGGTTCGAGCCCTGGTCTGGGAGGATCCCATGTGCCACGGAGCAACTAGGCCCGTGAGCCACAACTACTGAGCCTGCGCGTCTGGAGCCTGTGCTCTGCAACAAGAGAGGCCGCGACAGTGAGAGGACCGCGCACCGTGATGAAGAGTGGCCCCCGCTTGCCGCAACTAGAGAAAGCCCTCACACAGAAACGAAGACCCAACACAGCCAAAATTAAATAAATAAATAAATAAATTTAAAACTGTTAAAAAAAAATTAAGTTCTGCAACTTTATATGGAAACCATGTTGATTTTTAAAAAGAGAACTGGAAAATACAGTATTAGCAACCTTGTATTCATTCTTCCACTCATTCAACAAATAGTACTAACCACCTACCATGTACTAGTCATTCGCAATTAAAGGTTTTTTTCTGTGTAATTGAAGATTTTTAATTAGATATATTCCACAGACTGCAAAAGAAAATCTAACCTGGGTTCTGGCTATAAAAAGGTCCTCCGTTCATCTGATTCTGAAGGCTTGTTTGTGAAGTTATGGAAGGAGGGCGCCTATAGGGCAAAGAGCCCCCTATTGTTGGGGGAGTATGGCGAGTGGCAGGTCTATTCATGCTGTAGAACTGAACAGGATGACCTGGAAAAGGGACAGAACATAAATTTGTCACTAAAAGAAAATTAACTCAGACAATGAAATACTTTAGGTACAATGCCTGAATCTTAATAAGATTATTAAAAATAACAATATTTAGCTAATTTAATTGCCATCTGACAAATATTAATGCAAGGTGACAGTTATTTCTCAGTTAACAGTATATCCAAGTGCAAAAGCAGCCAAGTAGGTAAATAAAATTATGATTAGGTTTGGAAAAGCTATATCTAAATAGATTACTAATTAATATTATGATTTTATTAAATTAGTAATTTGATAGGGTTTCAAAATCATCACAATTAAAATTTATGGGGGGCTTCCCTGGTGGCGCAGTGGTTAAGAATCCTCCTGCCAATGCAGGGGACAGGGGTTCAAGCCCTGGTCCAGGAAGATCCCACATACATGCCGTGGAGCAACTAAGCCCATGCGCCACAACTACTGAGCCTGCGCTCTAGAGCCCGCGAGCCACAACTACTGAGCCCACATGCCACAACTACTGAAGCCCGCATGCCTAGAGCCCGTGGCTCTGCAACAAGAGAAGCCACGACAATGAGAAGCCCATGCACTGCAATGTAGAGCAGCCCCCGCTTGCTGCAACTAGAGAAAGCCCACGCACAGCAACGAAGACCGAACACAGTCAAAAATAAAAACAAATTTGAAAAAGAAAATAATAAAATAAAATAAAATTTATTGCTCACTTCCTCCAAAAAAACACCAGCAATTAAACACTGAAAACTAAACTCAACAAGATGAGAAAAACGTTTAGAAAAGAAAAAGAAAAAATGTTTGACACACAGTTTTATTCCAAAATAATAATAATAGTAATAAATTTAAGGTAGCAAGCCAATTTGTTTAAAGGAAATAATAAAATATTTCAGCAAAAGGTCAAGTGACATAATTCCAAATCACATTTTTCAATCAAAAATATCCTTCTCTAAACTTAGATTATTTTGTCTTAAAATTAGAGTTTAACAAATTTACAATTATGAAAAAAAGCTAAGACACAAAAAGTGTTGTCAAAAATATCTAATTTTTAGTATGATCCTGAACGTGTTCATATTTATCAGCAATTTCATACATTTTGCTCTCTGAGAGCACTTCAACAACTAAGGCCAACAGAAGACACTCTTTCCTAATCCATCCAATTGCCTAGTTCAATCCAGTTCCTAAATTTTATCTTGACTCCAATTCTGCTTAAAATCATTAGCTAAGGGCCTACTGTACAGACAGACCAAGTACTAGAGCACCCATGAGAGAGCAGGCAAGAAAAGAGAAGGGGGAGGAATGGGAGAAGGGGAAGAGTGAGGGAGAGAAGAGGAGGGAAGAGAAAGGTGAGCGGAAGAAAAGGAGGAGGGGAGGGGAAAGGAGAGGAGAAAGGACAAGGGAAGAAGGGAAGGGAAGAGGCGAAAAGAGAAAAACACAACAATTTTTCTTCTTTTCCATGATTGTAAAATGGTTTTACGTGACTAAAACTGATCTTCAGGAACTGTTAAATTTATCAAACTTGGATTCATATGGATACTCATATAAAGAATATTACAGAAGCACTCAAGAGCTGCTATAGGATTTACTCTTCATACATACGACAGTATCAAAACCTAAAACTCAATTCTGTTGTATAAAAATCTTGAGTAGTCAAGCTCAAGCACAATCCACTGTCAATTTATACAGCCATGATAAAAATGTAAAAGCATGTAAACTAATAAGCTATTTTTTAGAAGGTATATTTTGTCATTTGAATCACACATTGCTGGCATTTTAGGCATTAGTCTGTAACACCCTAATACAAACCTAGAATAATCAAGTTAAAAACTCTGATATTTAACACCATTATGAATTTTATATAGTTAGATCCAGTCTAAAACCTCCCATGTTATAAGCCATCAGTGATCCAAAGACACTACATAATCAAGACTCTATTCAAACCATTAATGAAGCATTTATTTTGCTTTGAGCTGAAAAACAAAACTATAGTTTAATTACCATAGACCTAACTATAAAAACCTGAAACTAAAAACTTCTAGAAGAAAACAAGACAAAAATCTTTTGTGACCTTGTGTAAGATAAAGAGTTTGTAAACACAACACTAAAAGCACAATCCCCAAAAGAAAAAAGAAAAAAAAAAGAGCAATGAACGAGACCATCAAAATAAAGAACTTCTGCTCTTTAAAAGACACCATTAAGAGAATGAAAAAGTAAGTCACAAAATGGAAGAAAATATTTGCAAATCACACAATTAATAAAAGGCATATTCAGAATATAAAAGGACTCAATAAGAAAACAAACAACCCAATTAAAAATGTGTGTGAGGGGAAGCAAAAACATTTGAACAGACATTTCACCAAAGAAGATGGCAAATGAGTACATGAAAAGATGTTCTACATCATTATTCATTGGGGAAATGTCAATCAAAACCACATGAGAAACTATTATACACCTATGAGAATAGCTAAACTAAATATACATATATATATGTGTGCGTGTGTATATATGTATATAATGACAACACCATGTGCTAACAAGTACGCAGAGCAACTGGAAGTCTCACACACTGCTGGTGGGCATGCAAAATTGTACAAGCACTTTGGAAAACAATTATGCAATTTCTTACAAAGTTAAGCATTCACTTACCAGACAACCCAGCAATCCTACTCCCTAGGTGTTTACCCAAATGAAATGAAAGCCTATGCTCACACAAAAGTCTGTGTGTGAAGGTATTTGGCAGTTTTTTCACAATCACCCAAAACTGGAAATAAATCCAAATGTCCCTCAATTGGGAAAGGGATAAACAAACTCTGGTAAATCCATTCAATAGAACACCACTCAGTAATAAAAAGGAACAAAACATGTAATAATGCATAAATCTCAAATGCACTGTGCCAAAAAGCCAGACCCAAAAGGTTACGTTACATATGCTTCCATTTATGGTATTTTTACAAAGGCAAACTTTAGAAGAAAAAAAAAAACAGATCAAGAGGTTGCCAGGGGCTAAGAATGAAATGAGTGAAATGGAAGGACTGCCTACAAAGGGGGCTTGGAGGAAATCTGGGGATGATAGGACTGTTCTATACCTTGACTGTAGCTGTGGTTATATCACTGTATACATTTGTCAAAACTCACATGAGTCCATACTAGAAAGGGTGAATTTTACTGTATATAAATTATACCTTAATAAAAAGAAAAGAAAAAAAAGTATTTGGTGGGTGATTCAAAGATACTACATAAAAGAGATTATATTGATATAAGTTGTTAATAAGGCATTTACTTTGCTTTTTGTTAAAAAACTGTAATTATTCACTCATACAACAAATGTTGATTCGGTGCAGACTAGGAACCAGCACCTGTTATTAAATTATAATTTAATTACTAAAATATTGACTCTAGGTGAGGGTGATTTGTCCTTTCTGGGCCTACAACTGATTTCAAGATGTATTCCTTACTCTACTGATGCAGGAGCATAACAAGATTTCTATATTTAACTAGCTAGAGTGGCCTAACAGAGTGGTATGTAGATCAAAGGACAGCTCATGTTTACATACACCCACTGCAGAAAGCTTTTCTTAAAAAGTGCTGTTACAGAAGCTATGCCATAAAACACCATCCAAAATGAATGGATTAACATGGATTTTTAAGATGTCTTTTAAAACACTTAAACACCTAGATACAGCAGCAGCACTGCACATATATTCTATGAAGTACTTTATTAACCAGCTAAGGTGATGTGTGTCCAAACACATACATTTTTATAGTAGATAAGAACTTGTTTACTAAACCAGCATCACTATTAACTTTGAAAATATACTTTGTAGCAATTGAGCCTTTTTCTCCTTAGCCATGAGAACAAACTTTAGGTAGCAATTTTAAAACAGTAAAACACCAGTCAATCTTAAATTACAAACAAACTTGAAATCCTTAAAAAGCCCCCTAACTATGTGTTTCCAGTGCTGCTATAATAAGCAACAAATTCTGTTATAATAGACTTGTACTTTCAAACTGTTATATCAAATATTTCCTATAAAATATACCTTAAAACTACTGTCATACTTTTCTTTTTATTAATGACATAACCTGTAACAAAGAATACTTCTAATAACAACTTCTCAAAACTGTATAGAAGGGACTTCCCGGAGGTTCAGTGGTTAAGACTCTGTGCTCCCAATGCAGGAGGCATGGGTTCAATCCTTGATCAGGGAACTAAGATCCCACATGCCCAACGGCACAGCCAAAAAAAAATAAAATAAAATAACTGTAGAGAAGACAGCTCCATACTAAATTTGCAAATCTCTAGTAAATAAAATTCAAGCAATAAAAAATGTGTATTTGTGCTATTCTACTAGAAAAATGAGAAACCTTACCCTGATTCCCTCAGGAAATTCTATTCTTCGGTCACATGCCATTTTCTAGTTAGCACATTATTCTTCAGATTTTTTTTTAATACAAACCACAAACAAACAAAAATCATAAAGCCAGAGTTCCAAGTAAGAGAAGAGCCAGACAATTGGATCTGCCTGCCAAAGAATAAACCAATACTCACCTGTAGGGGGAGTGGAAGAAACAACAGGGGGAGTTGGAGAAGTGAAGCCATCAGCAAGGGTCTGGGCACCCCCAGCGGCAGTGTCTGGGGCAGTGGAGGGAGGGACAGTAGCAGGAAGAGGGGCAGGGGCAGATGCAGAAGTAGCAGGAAGGGGAGGAGTACCAGCAGAGCCAGCAGGGGCTGAGGGGAAAGAGGAGTAAGAGGCAGCATTAATGAGGCAGTTCCATCAGGCAGGATTAGAAACGGCATTAGAGAACTTAATGTTAGCTACTCGGTGCTTATCAATAACCAAAGAATAGAAGAGAGTGTTAAAAAAAAAAAGAATGAGCTTATTATGTTAAAGGATTATTAAGGTTTGCAGCAAATAATTCAAGATGCTAAGGGTAATGTACAGGATTTTAAATTCATTAAAAGCATTCCTTTTTACCTGATAGCCACTACTCTAGAAGAAAAGTGCTCCCTTTATATTGTTATTTTTAACATTCTGTAAATATTGATAGTATACAAAATGAAACACAACACACTACAAAATGACAGTATTCCATTTTGAAGTATACAAATCAGAAAATAAAAATATTTCAGACATAAATATCAGGTAAAAAAGAATTTAGAAAAATAACTCTTTTTCATGATTTTTAAAAAGGTATTATCTATTTGTTATTATAAGTAAGTTAAATATGTAATATTCTATCCTTACGTCTTTTCTGTCATGTTTTTAAAACTAAATTTTAACTTTGTGTCCTCAGATTAAACAAGTACATTTTTCTGTTTCAGACAAAAGAGGGTAGCATTTCAGTGACTATCAAGTTATCAGAGTCCATGAGATTGAACTGTCAAAATTATATCTGCTCAATCCTTTGCTACCAATATGGTTCTCACACTGAGACCCCACTGTGCCCAAAGGCATGCACTGTCATAACACCAGCTGGAATTAAACACGTAACTCATTCCGGTGAAACCTCAACTCAAAGCACCAACTACGCCACAGCACCAAAGACACAAACCCAAATAACAGAGAAGTATGTGAACATAAACTCACAAATCATTTGGTTAAAAATAACAAACGCATAAAGATTTTTCAGCATTTACAGAGTCTTCGAGGGAAAAAAACCCTGATTATGAAGAAAGCCCAGTGTAATTAAATCAGAAATTGAATCCAAACTCAGCAAGCAAGGTGAAGATGAAGCACAATTCATGTTTTACCTGGAAAGACACTGGGAGGAGAAGGTGTAGGAACAGCAATGGGGACTCCCACACTCCCACTTCCACTGTTCTCCCGACTGCTGCTCCGACTACTAGGGTGGCTTCCTCCGCTACTCCCGCTGCTGCTAAAGAAACAGAAGCCACCAAAACATGAGTATTGATATACAGCAAGATACCGCCAGCATTTTCCAGAATTTTCTGAAATGAATATAGCTACAAAATGATAATTCAAAAGCCCTCCACTTAAAAGATGAATTTCTTAATAAAGTAAGGAAAAGAGCTGAGTTTAAGAAACTTGTTTTGGCTACCTTTTAATAAGCATGTATTAAAGAAACTGAGAAAGAAAAAAAATTCTCCATAAACATAGTGATAAATCATGGGGCTTGACACATAAAAATAATATTACTTTCTCTTATTCCAGTTTAATGGCTGTCTGAAGAAACCTCTTTTATAATAAAAAGTTTTCCTAAACAAATTATTTGATTAATTTTATTTGTAATGATATCATGATATACTATCCCATATTTAATGTTTTATTGCATAGTTTTTCATCTGTAAAGTTCCACCAAAAAACAACTTGAAATTTCCCACATCTGGTCAATTATTTTTTTCAGGTCAACAATAACTATTAATCTTGCAGAGAAATCTGCACTTTGAGATGACTGTTCTCTTTCAACTTCCTGGCTGCTCAAAGTTGCATCACAACATGAGAAGAGAGAGGTAGAATCAGATGAGGTTTGGGGGAGCAGAGTGAGGAAAAGAACTTAGTGCTTGGAAAATGAGAGAGATTTAACTGAAGTTATCTGAACAAATTATGGTACTATGACCATCACATTTTGCGCTGAGGTAGAGAAAATACCTGTAAGTTCGATTTCTTTGATTCACAGAAGCTGTCCTCACAGGGCTCTGCTGCGAGGGAGCCATAGTACGGGCTGGGCTAGGTACGTAATCATTTGGTACCACTGGAGGGCGCACTGGCTCCAGTGTGCGATAGGGGGAGTGCCGCCTACAAAAAGAAGAGCGTATGTATTGTGTGATTAGCAAGTTTCGGCACAATCAATTCAGAGCTGCCAGTAGTGAAATACAGTTTGTACTCGGAGGTAGTAGAACGTGTTTTAATAAAACCCAGCTACCAATTTCAGTCTTCCCTTAAGTATCACTTCTCCATTAGGGTTTTGATGCATATTGTTGTATTTTAGTCTCCAACTTCATTTCCCTCTGCTAATGCGATTTTGTTCATTCATTCTGAGAGCACGAAGATTCTACTACCAGATAAGCCAATGTTTCCCAGACTCTCTTCTTAGATGAGTTCAAATTATTTTAGTGCCATGTCAAATTCCCCCAACTGCACTGCATAAATGCACTAATTATCCTCCTCACCTCTCTCTCCCTAACCAAAAACTCAGACAGGGTAAATCAGTCTAGAACATGGCTCCACAACCCCCGCACTGATGATCAATAGCAACCCTAACAAGTCACTTCCCTTTCTATAAGGTACAGAAATAAAACCATGTCCACACACAGAAATATATAATTTAATCTCATCTCCTTCCATTCTCACTTCACATCCTCCTTCAGCTTTCACCTTGATTGCCCTTACCTCTTACCCTCTTCACAGTTCAACATTTAAAAGGGAGAGAAGGAAAAAAAGATCACCTAAGTCTTTCTACCTTATTTGAAGTACAAAACAGACTGGATTTATTAGCATATCTCCCTCTTTTTTTCAAAATTTCCTTTTAAAAGAAAAGAATGAGAAGAGCAAGAAAGGAAATATGATAGGAAATAGGATGCACACTGGAACACTAGTAATTATTGAGTAAGTTCTCATCTTTAAGTTTCCAAATAACTTTATGACAATGATAAATACTCAACTGACACGAAACTGATATTGTGTAGATGAGATTCTGGTCTTTAACTGGATCTCAAGATGTGAAAATTAAAGAGCTTTCTTTTCCTGAAATGATGTTGCTCACCTGACTTATGTATTTCTCAATAATTCACTTCCCAAAAAGCTCCCAAGGTTCCTTTAAATACTGTTCTCCTGGACCACTCGAGTTTTGGCTCATTGATTCTGGATGAGATTACTCTGCAATGACCCTGTCTACTACGCTCAAAATCTTCTTGCATAAACAAATATACACATTACTAAAAATAAATAACAGGCACTAGACAAGATATTGGGTCAAAGAAAGAAAAAGGAACGTTAGGACCTTGGATTTAAAATACAAAAAAGGGGCTTCCCTGGTGGTGCAGTGGTTAAGAATCTGTCTGCCAATGCAGGGGACACAGGTTCGAGCCCTGATCCGGGAAGATCCCACATGCCGCAGAGCAACTAAGCCCGTGCACCACAACTACTGAGCCCGCGTGCCACAGCTACTGAAGCCCACGCGCCTAGAGCCTGTGCACCGCACCAAGAAAAGCCACCGCAATGAGAAGCCCGCACGCTGCAATGAAGAGTAGCCCCCGCTCGCTGCAGCTAGAGAAAGCCCGTATGCAGCAACAAAGACCCAACACAGCCAAAAATAAATAATAAATTTATTTTAAAACATAAATAAAATAAAAGACAACAAAGTTCGGGCATCTCTGAAGTTATGATGTAAACATAAAACACCATAAAATACGAAACTGATTGATTTCCAATTTTTCCCAGACAATAAAAATGTTCTGTTTCATGCAAGAAAAAAAAAAACCTTTGCTGAGAACCATACAATGAAGACAATGATAAAAAAAAAAAAAAGGTAAAAAACTAGGGGCAGAGGACAAAACACGGTAGCTGGGCAAAGACCGCGAAAAAGCCAGGCTGTGACCATCAAACGGCTAGTGGTGCCCAGCCACTCTGGTCTCCAAAGACACTGCAGAGCCCTTGCTAATACACAAGGAAAACAAATACTAGTGTATGAGTAAATCTTTAAAATTGGGGAGTAACAGAAAATTTTATTTTACTAGGGTTATCTTGCTAACAATCTTGATTCAAAACCTAATTAAAATCCATTAGATACTATACATGATAGAAATACAGACATTCCACAGGAAAATAAATATTTCCTCTTGACCTGATTCTCCACTCTTACCCTGTACAATTATAACCTACCACACATCATCTACATTCTACCCTGAAGTTTAAATCTTATTTAAGCTACTAGATCCTCCCCTCTCTAATCTAAGCAGAATTTTTTGTCTACCCCGAATAAAATCATCCTATTCCTGGTTGGAAATCATTTTTATTCTTTTGTTTCACACTCTCCTAACTATAATTCCTCCTCCAACATCATCTTTCTTTGCTTGATTAGGTTGCTAGGGTTTTTTGTTTGTTTCTTTTGTTTGGTTGGTTTTTTGTTTTTTGCTTTTTTTTTTTTTTTTTTTTTGGTGAGGGGGCCAAAAATCAAGATTGCCAATTAAAAACTTTTAAGCATATATCACAAAGCCAATGATAGTCAAAGCATTTTGTCTTACACATTTAAAAAAATCCAATTCATGGTACAGTGACTCTGAAAAGTTGACAAAGGACAAATTACCCCCTTTTACAGATGAAAAAACTGAACTGCTAAGAGGCTTACTATGCAACACAACACAGCAGGAGCAGAGCTGGACCACGATTTTAGTCATCTCACTTCTGGGTGATATTATGCCCACTTGATCATGATAAACCAAGTTTTTATACTAAGATGCTATAGAGGAAAAAAGTCAAGCTTTTCCATCAATTGACCATTTCTCCCAAAGTCAAATCCGAAGCCCAAGTCTGTAGACTGAATGAAAGCTCAGTATTCTCATAAAAACACAAGATATACAGACTTCTGTATTAGGCACAGTATTTTCTTCAGAAGACAAGTTTGAATAAGAAAAATCAACTATAATACAAAAGACTAAAAATTTTCTGAAAATAGGAATTAGAGTGTAATTTATAATAAGCCATGAACTCAGGTTAGGATTTACCTAAAATTTAAAATGCATTAGAAAAATAATTTCTAAACAAAATATTTTTAAAGTATAAAGATGAAAAAAAAAAGTATAAAGATGTTTCCCAGGTATAAAGTATAAAAGATGTTTTCCTTTTGGAAAAGTTACACACAAAAAAGATAACCCTAGGAAGAAAATGTTCTCTTTTCAAATATTTAAAAATAGTTTAAACATATATATTGTTTAGTTTCCACACAGCACTACATGAAATGGTTTTCAATTATTACTTAGTTACATACTCACCCAAGTGTCCCTTTCCCTGACATAGGGGGACTGGGGGGTTTCTGAGTTGGAGGTGTTGTACGCGGGAGCCCACCCATCTTCATGTTCTGGGTACTCACCTAAAAAAATTTTGAGGAAAAATCAATTTAACCTGTATGCAGTGAAACAAAGTGGCACTTTCAGGAAATAACATTATGCTATTTAACAAAGGAGGGGAAGGTTTAAATAGGAAAAAAAATTAGAGGCCATGCATTTCATATGCAATTTCTACTCTACTATCATTCTACAGTTGTACTCAAAGGACTCTTCCTAACGTGAGATTTTCAAATGATTATAAAGTTGTATGCAAAGACTTTATTTGCCATTAGGCCATCACACCAACAGATCACTGGTTAGACTATAAGATACTACATTCAATTGAAATCAAATAGGATAACTATAAAAACTTTAGTTTTTATAAAGAGTAACTCAATCAGACAATAATGCCTTTATGCAATTCCTTGTTTTTTAGATAGCAAGTTTATCATAAAAAACAAAAGACATGTTTCCCCCCAAAAAAATGCAACTTTAGTTTTGATCCATTGTAAGTAGAGAATATAAAATAAAGTTATATCATATACAGAGAAAATTCCATTTTTTAAAATTGTGGATCAGCCTTACAATTCAGATTTCTTTAATGTTCTCTTATGAAGGAATCACCTACCTGAAAACTGCCAGAAGTTAAGGCATGTTCCTAAACATCTGAACCAGAAAGGTAGGGCTGAGGTATCCCATTCAACTGTGAGCGGTACAATGGCCACTGGCAATGTCCTAGTTCCAATGGGAATTAAACCCACTCAGGCCCAAAATGAAGATTAATTGAGGCATAGGAAAGATGTAACATAGTCCTAAATCAGAGCTAAGCCATGATTCCTCACTATTCTATCCCCAACTGAAAGTGCAAGTGTGGGACAGTTGGGTGATTTGGGAACCATGGATGCCACCAAAGGAGCAAGTCAGCACTTACACAGAAAGCCCTAGAAATCTGGGTACCTTAAAGAGTTAAGAGAAGTCATGCACAAATATAGATCAAATGCAATCTCAAGTTGTTTGAGATTACCAATTGGTTAGAGTTAATAATGTTTACCACATATGTTCATACCTGACCCTATTTTAAGCCCCTAATATTCTGGATTTCCAAACACTTCAAAACAGGATCTTAACTTTTCTAATAAGAATACATCCAGAGTATTCAAATTATACTTATGAAAGGAAACTGCAAGACTTCTGAAATCAGAATACACTTGTAATTTTAAAATATAAATTTTAAGAAAACAAATCATAATTATATAGAGTATTGAGGCTGACAAAATTAACTCTGGCTTAAAGGGAATATTTAAAAATCCTAAAATACTACTTGTTATCTGAATAGGCAAGAAATAATATATCAAGAAACAAACTCTTCAAATGAATAGCCCAGTGAACAAGTTGTGTGTGATGTTAAAACAATCTTTAATGACAAATGATACCTTTGAAATATCAATATTTTTAAAGTTAAGCATTCATCTATAATCCTTTTTTTATTGCTTTTAAACAACAAATACAAAACAAACTGGTTATCAAGGAAGAATAAAGATTAACTTATCCTTGCTCTCCCCCTCATTAATAAGCAGAGGGTATAATTGTATCTTAAAATGAAAATGTCAGAAGTTTTAAAAAATTAATCCACATTTGGGGAAAATTTTAGGAGTAATATGACAAATAACGAATAGCTTTTAAAACTGTATATCTTAATTTATGATACCAGAAGATTTTTAAAAGTAGTAACCAAAGTCCTTTAAGCTCAACCTTAAACAACATAAAACCCAAAGTCACTTTAAGTGATGAAGGAGAAGTAGGTGAGCCAAACACTAAACTACATCAATTTGCTAGAAACAGGAAGGAAAAGGAGCAGGGACAGAAAAAGAGTAAAACAGAATTTTATTCTATACATGGAATAGCTAAAATACTTGAAAACAGCTTTCCAACTTTGATTTGTTTAAGGTTTGGGTATATAAGGTGTTTTGATTAAATTGCAGTATCTTCTCTATAAGTCTTTTAATCTACCCAAAACATAAAATAAACAATCTATAAATTAAAATCTGGTGGACATTTCTATACATAAAACTTGATACATTTTATGATCTGTAGAATCGTCAAATGGTTCTATTTGTTTGGTTAATGGGGTTTGCATGAGTAACTTAATTCACTTAAGAAACCAAAGAGTCCCTGTGGAATGTCCAACTAATCTATTATTTTATACTTCACTGATGCTGTGCTACCTCTGTATTAAGCTAGAAGAGTATTCAATATTTCTTCAAGGTAGCTTTCCTTGTGAAAAATGTTTCTACGCTAAGTAAAACAATGAATATGCTATACAGAATATACATACTGCCATCTAATTTGAGGAAAAGGGAAAAGAACAGGAATAATTGCCAAACAAAACTTATTATAATATAGAGCTCACCTATGATAAAAGTTAATAAACTGTATTTCACACCTAAAATAATTTGGTAAAAAATTACTTACTGGATACTCATCATGGTTCTAAAAACTACTTTGAGGGAAGTTACAGGGGGACACAACGCTTCCTGAAAAGGAGCAAAACACATGACTGAATTGTGAGTGTGGTGAAGGGGAACTTAACTAGAGAGAGAAGGACATACCACAAACTCAGGATAAAGCAACACTGCACCCACTCCATAACAGCAATTCCACTTGAAGCTTTAGAAAATGTAATACACACAGGCAAAACTATCATCTGGCACATGAACGTGTAGTTGGCGGTCCTGAATCATGAACAGGAGTGCTCGTGATACTTTTCAAAGTTTTACTTGGGAACTGGAATGAAACTTTGATGGCTGATTCCAACAATATTTCAATTAATGTGCGTATTTTCTGATGCCACAAAGGAAAAGTCATCATTGAGAGCTGAGTGAAGCAGGTGTTAGCCACATGGAGAAAGAGCAGGAAAGGTCCCTTTTTTTTCCCTGCCAGAATGAAACTCTCAGAACAGAAGAAATACTTCATTTAGGTGATGAAAGTTAATGCATGATCACAACTCAAATAGTTTCCCACTGGCCTGGATGAAGAAATGCAGATAATACCGAGAGTAAGAGCAATTCCTTTATGACCAGAGTGGTCTGCTCTCCCAGACTCTGGAGATCACTACAACTAGAACCAACCATCAGGCCAATTATTATACCTTACTACTGCTTCTAAAGTGCTCCTATCTTTCCTGCTCTATCCTTTTTTGGTAAATGCAATACCCTCCTTGAACCCTGATATATATATAGTATCATGTATTTCATATATAACACTCATTACAAATCTTAGTGATTTCCAGTACCCTGTGAACTCCAGTATTTTTTATAAAGCTGGCCAGCCAGGTATCTCTAGTTCAGAGCACATCACCTCTGCTATGAAGAAATCTCCCACGAAAAGATGACCTGTTGCAACTTGACAGTGACAGACACATTCTAAAATGATATCTGTGGTATATCCCTCATTTGAACTACCTACCACCAGACTACTAGACACAAGGGTAAAAGAATATGAAAAATAAAAGAAGACAAAGGTCTGTAAAATGATTTCTCTGCTTTTAAGGAACTTATTTTAGAACTAAGACCCACATGTTTAAAACAAAAAGTAGTATCTACAAATTATATCGAAATCTCCAAAAAAGAAATATCAATGCAAGACAAAATGGCTACAGAAGGTTTCATAGAGAAAAATCTGAGCTGGAGTGTTAACAAGTCTTAAAAAGAGCAAGATTTAAATATACTAAGAGAAAAGGAGTAGTATGTATAGGTTGTGTCTGGATGTGGCGTAGTGAGAATGGGCAGCAGCTGTGGTCAAGCATCTCTAGGCTTTCGTTCAATGCCCAGTATCGTTCCCCATTAGTTCCATCCAGTGCATAATTTTCTGGCTTCCTAGAGATCTTTATCCCTCTCCTCAGAGGATATATGTTCCTACTTCAATTCTCAGAGCCAGCAGGAAAAGAACCAGGAGATCCTCTCAAGGAGATCAAAGCTGAAATCAGGAATTCGAGTATGACTTCAGGAGAGATGTAAAATTTTTAGTAAGAGAGTTAGAAAGACAAAAAGCCTAAGGTGCCAAGAGTCCTAAAATAATCTAATACAGAGATAAGGGAATAAGAGATTAGGATTAAGGGGGGAAGAACAAATAAAGTAAGAAGAAGAAAAGAGGAATAAAGATGGACAAACTTCTGCTTGATTCTGAAAACAGTTTCTAACAACTGGCTTTTGACAAGATAGAATTGGTGGCTCAAGTCTGGAACTGATAGGCAAACCCAGATGAGTCTTCCAAAAGTTGCTGTTATTGTGGAGTTTTTCTCCCAAGTGTTGTATCGAATAAATGCTTAACAATGAACCCTCAGCTGTACCCGAGAGCTAGAAATGTGAGAGGCAATTTATCATCCTTCTGTACTGTAGGGAATGACACACAAGGTCACATGCAAAGTGAAAAGGTTAGCCCATTTTTTACATAAAGTTATGGATCTTCAAGATCCCAAGCAAAATTTTCAGAAGTGTTGTATTCTTAATGTGTTAACTGTAAAAGAAACTCCTAACCCCTCCTCATTAATTATTAAGAATCTGCTTGTACAATGTTCATCTGAAATAAATACTACAAAAACAGATCAGAAGTCTTTATTTTTTTTGCATTAAAGTAAATACACTTATTTTAAAAGTACTTAAGCTTAGCTTCATTAGTGACAACTTTCAACAGAAATATCTGTTTCAAACACATCAGTAACAAGGTCTTAAAACTCTTTTATTAAAATAAAGAGTGGGGAAAGGGTACCCCAGTTCAAGGTACATTCCACTTTTATATGGCCTCAGGTACATATTAAAACCCCTCCAATATGGCATGCTATCCATCGGCTTTTTATACCTTTTTCTTTAAAAATATCACCACGTTGTTTTCAAAGGTCTTATGAATTAAACTCTACAACTTCTCATTCGACTGAAAAAAGTTAACCCAAATTTTAGATGAAAAGAACCATTAAACACAACCAGGACATGCTGTATAAAAGGTTAAAAGTTCAACTTTTAAGCATGGAGGTCTCTTCTGAGTCAAATCCCATGTGTCTTGTCCCAAAGTATGATATTTGTTTAGAGTATATCTGAAAGGCATCAAGTCTGACAACAATGGGAGCAAAGACAGAGCTCATAATGAGCTGAGGAGGAAATCAAATATCAGGAGACTTCCAGGGCACCTGACATAATCCACAGGTCTCCAAAAATCTCAGCTGGAAAACCAGTGGACTAGTTTACTATCTGCGGTCCCTTCCAACTTTAACATTTTTAAATTCTATTTTCTATCTTAATATACTCAATTATTCCATTAATCAACCTTCTAAAGCAATTCATTTTTTCCCATCAACATTAAAAAGAGTAATGATTTGCTATATGCTGAATATTTTTTCCACTCTATTTTGTTTTGGTTCACCCAAAATTATTAACTATGTGCCACAAGTTTATAGAGATGACAGACATACTCAGAAAGAAAGATAAGAAGAAAGAGACAGAGGACTGGCACATTCTAGCTTCTAGGATGACCTCACGGTACATACTTCTCACCCTGTCAACCCCATCCCAATATAGTAGAAACAACTACATAGAGCCACAGTACTAAGGAGTGGAGCTTTTTTGGTGCAAAGAGCAAAGATGTTAAGGAATCTTATCCAAGTGTGATGTTCCCTTATTAGATCTTTCTTTCTTGGAAGCTCTCATTTCCCACTCACTCTGGCCTCTCACACAGAACAGATCCTGAACCCAGAAAGATCAAGAAGGAATCCTGGTAGGGTTTGGAAGAAATGAGCTAGGGATAGTTCCTTAGGCAAGCTGGTCTAAACTTTAAGGGGAAAGAACTGGTCCATTTTTTTTTTTGTCTTTCCTTTAGTTAATCTTTCTGTGCACTTCTATCACTTTGGAGGTTAATGTATCAATAGCCAAAATCTGAATACAGACTTTAAGGAAAAAAAGCCAAGGTAGCCACAAGGACAGCTTCTGGTCTAATTCTACCTATTTTATGCAAAGGAATCGCCTCACTCACCGAGACTGAGGGCTTGGAGTCAACACTCCAATATACTTTTATGTACACATGAAGTACATCTGCCTGGGCTCCTCCAGTCACATCTCTCTACCATGATCTGTTAACTTTCTGTGGCCGTGGTTAGTAGCTAGTTAATGATTCAGGTCTCAGTCATCTTGTCTTCTTGTTATCACTTTCTACACTGAAGACATGGCAAACAACAGGGTATATGGTAAGAATACATATTTGAAAAGGAATTATAGAATTCAGCTAAGAAAAAAAGAACAAAAATGAAATGCATGATCGATTTGGTGACAATAATTTTAGTACCATTCTATCTGACAGGCTTCTTGATTATTCTTGAATGTCTTTTCCCATTTTTCCCTCCAAAATACTAAAATGTTACTGAAACAAGTAAGAAAAGGAAATATCTTTAATTCTTAACTTGTATTTTGTTAAACACTATCATGAGCTTTTGATGCTTTGCATATAATACTCGGCTTGAAAACCTCTTAAAGTGAGTTTATACTGAAATATTTATATAGCAATTTGAAAAGACTAATTTTGTTTTTTGCAAAATACATGATACTGCAGCTTAAAAAACACCCAAAACACTGAATATTTTCCAATTTTCAATTTTTTTAAAAGTGATTAAGAGTCAAGCGATAATGACATAGTGGCCACAAGGTATATAATAAAGCACACCATTTATAGAATAAAAAGGCTATTACACAGGGGGAGAGTTAAATGAAGCACATTAGCAGCCCTCCAATCCAAAACAAAATTTCTACATTTACAAAAGTCCAGCTAATTTTATTTCATAATGACATTTTATGATAGGGTAACTTACATTTCAGTTTCACAAAATATACTGACATTGCAAAATAACCATTTAGTCAACAAATATTTACTAAGTGTCTAATGTGTGTCAAGCACTGTTCTAGGCACACACGATAGGGCAATGAACAAAACAGTCAAAAACATCTGCCCTCATGGAACATGAAGACACACAAAGTTTCATGAAAAAAAAAATAAAATAAAAAAGAGTAACTAACTATTTGTTGGTTTTAAAATAAGGCCAAGTGCCAAATATCTCTTCACTCCCCATATGTAATATTCTACATAAGAACAGAGAATGGAAATCCAGCCCTGGAATCTCTTACCTTAAATCTAAGCAACCACTTAATGCATAAATGGAGCAAATAAAAGAGGTAAGGGAAAAAAGCATTGAAAGGTTAGTTGGAACTTCAGGATGTGAAGAGAAAGGAAAAAAACAAAGAAAAAACAAGTTAAGCATTCAGCATTAAAAAATAATGTTTCAGTAGATCATAGAAAGAGTGGTTAAAGCAGAATGTGTCATGAACAGGAGTTTTGTGATGAAATTATATGACACTTTTATTTAAAAACAACTTTATTAAAGATTTCTTCAAATTAGTGACCCCTAAACACTAAAATGTACAAAAAATGAAAGGGACTACAGATTCCCTAAAGAACATTTACTTGAGGATTAAATAAGAATTGGGGGATCACCTTTTTAGTATATAAGTGGGGAAGTACAAATATGATGTTTTATATTCTAAGTGCCTTTTTATCATTAAATTCGTTCAGGATCCTAAAATTTTCTATTAGCAGTTGTTAGCCTCAAATAAATCTCAAAAGATTTTCCCAAGTTAGAATAAATTTCAGTTATTAATTATCCATCCAATTGTACATCCTATTTTAACATGCTCTAATTAGTACTGTAAACTAAATGCATTAGGTGTTCATTATAAAATTAAATATCAAATTTCAGATAATAGTGCTTATATCAAAATTGTAAGAAAGAAAAAGATTTTTTAAAAAAATTTACACCATACATATTCTTTTACCTAGATCTACATTAAAGTTAGATTTAACCGATTTCTAGCCATACTTGTGTGAGGTATATTTTTTAAATTTAAATTTGCTTATATTAGACACAAATCAATTGCATGAACTGTACAGTTTCACTTATAGGCATATACGTATTTATTCAGCATCACATTTGAAAAGTCACTGTCTTTCAAATCACTGCTGAGATGCAAACTTTAAATAACCTAATCCTTAGCTGAAGCTCTGAATAGTTTCTTAAGAACGAACACCAATTTAAATGAAAGTTATATGCTCCTCAGTTGTGATTATGGTACTTTACATACATAGCAGGCACTTAAATACATTTTAAAAGATAGCCAAAATATATAATGACTATCTACTCAAAAGCAGTGGAAATACTAGTTCACATATTAGTTTTAGCTACATTATTCTCACCCAAAATGTTGAGATAAATTTGTTTTAGAAAAATTCAAAGTACATGTTTGTTTATATATGTTCTTTCTGAAAACTAATGCCAAAAGTTTGATATTTTTGAGATAAAGCAAATACTTTAATAACATACTGAATAATTTTTAATTAGTCATACTAAATCATTAAAAGATTAGAAATATAATACCACATTTATTTCCAGATCTATATGAGGTATTTTCATAACTGATTAAGCAAAACAATTCAGTCAAAGATGACTGTTTAAAACTTGACAACATAATACTAAGAAGAAAGAAGAATAACATAGTTATAGTGGTAAGAAATCTTCAGAACTACAAGTAGGCCAAGACTTGATCCTCTGGAAAGAAAAGATAAACGCTTAATTTTCTAAAGAGTTAGTTTCATTATGGGCTGTTGTTTTTAAGCTGGACAAAAATTATACTTACCTTTACTCCATGTCCAATATCATCTAGAATTGTATAGTCAATAGGTTTTCTAATATAACGAACTGGTCGTTCAAGGTTGGCTGGAGCAATAATCTTATGTGTCCTTGAGGTGTTTTTATTGGTAGTCAAAATACCAATTTCTCTTCTTGCAACTTTCTCTTTATGAATATCAACGGTCTACAAAATATAATATAAACACAACACAAAAATGTATAGCTCTTATATCCAGAAAAATAAAAATATAAATACTTAGAGGTTTAATATCATTATTCATATTCTTAACCACAATTGCTAACTTCTCCTTTTGGGACCAATACTGACTTTCTCCCTTTCTAGGCTAAAGCAAGGGATGGGAAACCATGGCTGGCAGACCAAATTTGGCCCACCACCTATTTTTTACAGCCCAAAAGCTAAGAGAGGTGTTTACATTTTTTTAATGGTTGAAAAAAGTCAAAAGAAAAATAGGTCTTGACATGTGAAAATTATATGGAATTCAAATTTCAGTTTCCATAAACAAAGTTTTATTGGAACACAGTCATTCTACTTGCTTACATATTTTCACAATATAATGGCAGAGATGAGTAGTACTAACAGAGACCTTATGGCCTGCAAAGCATAAAATATTTATTAGCTGGCCCTTTACAGAAAAAGTTTGCCAACCTCTGGACTAAACATGCTAATTTTTCCCCTCTCCATTAAGACTTAACCTTATTAAGAAAGCCCCAGTGAAGGAATTCCCTGGTGGTCCACTGGTTAGGACTCCATGCTTTCACTGCTGAGGGCCTGGGTTCAATCCCTGGTTGGGGAACTAAGATCCCACAAGCCGTGCAGTGCAGCCAAAAAAAAAGAAAAATCTTCAAAAAAAAAAGAAAGTCCCAGTGATTAATCTGGTTCCATTTAAAAATAACCTATTAGTATAAACTCTATTAGTGTTTAAATAATTTTTATTAAAAAAAGAGAGGCCTAAACTATAAATACAATGTTAAAATAAGAATCATTTTTTACAGAGAAACTTGTTTACTGAGGCAATGCTGCTTATATTTTATCATAACAAAATGCTTGTAAAATATTTCATTATTTTATTTATTAAATGTTCAAAATAGGATATAATTTAGTACATAACAACAATGTGTTTTTACTCAGTTTTCTATTTGCTGAGAGAGGGCGAATTTAAGCACGGGTAATTAATACACTAAAGCAGCATTTTTCAAACTGCAAGGTGCAATTTAGTGAGATGTGAGCAGCAATTATTTTAAATGAAAAAGAACAGAAATATCAGACAACATACACATAGTAAGGTATTTTTTCTTAAAATGTTATGTATATAAATACATACATTAAATTGTGTACTGGATGAAATATAAAATATATTTTTAACTGTGAGTTGCAGTTTAAAAAGTTTGAAAAATACTGCACTAAAATTTTGTTCACATCTCTTGCCACCATTCCTGGCTCAAGCAGCAATTAACAGATACTTTTGCTATTTCCTCCCCAAACCTACTTTAATTTACCCTGTCTAAAGAATAACCAGGTAGTAACACAGAAATGGAAATGAAAGATAACCATCATGACATTATTAAATACAACTTTCAGAAATCTGAACACTGATTATTTATCCTTCTAAACTACCTAAAGTGTGAAAGAAACCTGAAACAAATTTGAAGCCTCCCATTTCAACCAACAGATCTTAAAAGAAACAGAATCTGTAAGTTCATAACTAATAAATATCTAAATGAAGCAACAAATCGAATACCGGCCAAGGTAGTGACCTTATCATTTTAATTATTTCTTTTTAAGACAAAAATAGGTTTTGAACTTTTTCAGTGCATATTAGAAAAATTACAAAATCTGCTTTCCTTTTCAACTGTTTGAGGGAGCCATAACAGAAAAAAAAAGGTTGCACATTAGTGACAATATTGGAATTTACTTATTTTTAACTTCAGAGAAATGGAAATTAATCATATTTTACTTTTGAATAATTTTTAATGAGTCTTTCTGAATTACTAAAAATATGAGCTAGGGGCTTCCCTGGTGGCGCAGTGGTTGAGAGTCTGCCTGCCGATTCAGGGGACATGGGTTCGTGCCCCGGTCCAGGAAGATCCCACATGCCGCAGAGCGGCTGGGCCCGTGAGCCGTGGCCGCTGAGCCTGCGCATCTGTAGCCTGTGCTCCGCGACGGGAGAGGCCACAACAGTGAGAGGCCCGCGTACCGCAAAACAAAACAAACAAACAAACAAAACTGAGCTAGGAAGATTTCATACTTACCAATTATACTTCAAAATAACCAAAAAACCCCAAAATATGACACTTATTTTTTATATATAACTGGTCTTTGTTATACCAATAAAAGAAAATTTATTAGAGAATGTAATCCTCTTTCAACATTGTTTTCATTCTGCTTAGTTAGAAATATAATTATTCAGAAATGAAAACAAAAGAATGTAAACCTAATCAACAATAACAGAATTCTAAACTTAGGGCAAACTGGAACTTCAAATTTTCCTGCTAGAAATATTAATAAATCTCTGGAGAATGAAAAGAGGGGTAACTTTTCATTATTATTTGCACTAAGATACAGTTATATTTTATAACAAGCACATATTTTTAAATTATTTGAAAAAACTGAGACTTTTTTAAAAGCATTAGAACAATTAGATCATACCTGGGGATTGGGGGCACTTACATATTACTTATATATTTTCTTTATGTACACATAAACACACAGCCCAAACCTGTATAAGCCATTACAGTAAGCATAAAAGAAAGACCAACACAGCAAAAGAAACAATCACAGAACTTTTATATATAAGCCGAAATAAGGGATAGTTGCTACAATAGGGCATAAAATTAGGCTCTTAGCTTCGTAGAGAAGGCAAAGTATAAATAATGAGTTACAAGAAAACATACACCCCTTCACTGGAAAAGTGACCATGTGCCCAGCACTAAACTCTTAAAGGAACTGGTTGAAGGAATTATGAGAAAAATGTTCTTTTTTGCTTCTTACATTAATTCTCATTAAAACTGAAGGCATATTTTAAAACGTAATTCTTAACAGCATATGTCTATATGAAGCCAAAATAATCTAGTTTGGTTATACGTTTCTAGTTGTCTACTCTAAAAGAATACTAGAGCAGGGCTTCTCAACAGCAACACTACCAGCATTTTGGGCCAGATAATTCTTTGTTGTGGAAGGGCTGTCCTGAGCATTGTAGGTTGTAGTGAAGCCTCCCAGTTGGTATCTATAGCACTCCCCACCCCAAGCTGTAACAACCAAAAATATCTGACGTTGCCAATTGTTCCCTTGGGGGTAAAACTGCTCTGACAGAGAACCAGTGATGTAGAAGAAGGACTAATTCATTTGTCTCATACATTATTCACTCTCAAATGTCAACTGTTTCCAAACTTTGTACAAGAGTTGATTTATGATTAATGCCTCTAGTGACTGCCAAATATCAATATTTGATGTCATTAACTTTTAAAAATCATCTAAAATAATAAAAGTAATATATGGTTAAGAAAACCCAAAGGTATAATTTGTGAATTGCCATCCTAATACCACACTGAATTGAACTGTAGGAGTTCCCGTAGACAGAATCAAATATAACTTCAGAACATGGTTATGATTTTATCTTAAGTCTGAATAACAACTTTTAATGGAGAACAATAAATCTATTACATAAATAAGGAGGAGAAAGTTTGGTCCAGAAGATTCTGAAGTTTTCAGCAATTACCTAATTCACATTTTTCAAAGATTTCTCTGGTAGAAAATACAATCATTTTCAAATTAGACAGAGTAATGTAATGAATACCCTCCATATACTTAACATCCAGCTTCAACATTCATCAACTCACAGCCAATTGTCAGTTTTAAAAGAACTTTGGTAAGGCTCCTAAAACATATTTTTAAATATGGCTTGTATGTTTTCCCTAAATCAAACTCATAGCTTTCAGTAATCACCATTGCCTTTGCCTTCACAATATACTTTGATATTACAATGCTGAAATGAATTAAGTTAAATTTTGGAAGTACGAATTCAACACTGATAGCTAGTCAGAATTTTAATAATAAGAAAAGTATTTTCCACTTATCCTGGATTTCTAAAGTTACTAGTTATATGCCAATAAACTTACTCTCATTCAGAAGAGGCCTCAATAATAGCACTCACCTATGGCAAGTGGAAAATGTGTTTAACTAGCAAAGAAGACCAAAACTAATGCAAGTACACTGCTATTAATACTATTATTGTTTGCTACCTGTTAACCAAAAAACACACCAAGTAGTATTGCTGCAACTGTGCAAGAGTTAAATATCTTTTCTCCCACAGTTCCTTAACAATTTGTTTCTCCATCCTCTAACAGCTATTGCCAAGCTGGTGTCACATGCTGCAGGCTCCCCCCATGATATTTCAACCACGCAGTGCCAAACCCAGGCTCCTCTAGAATACCTCTCATGGCCTTGACTTTCAGCTCCTCTGCAAGCCTGAGCCCCCCTCCCACACCTCCATCATGGACCCAAGCACATGCTCAGGCCACAGCAGATGACAGGAAGGTATGTATAAAGTATTTTGCTTTAGGGTTATCCATGCACTGTCCCATTACCACAGATAATTGAAAGTAGACTGTACTGGATAGCACTACCTCAGTCAGCTGCCCATCAGTGTGGGAAAACATCCGCAGTCAAACAGTTACAGTGGGTTAACTCAACTAAGTTGGGTGTTTTAAAATGTGTCTCCATTTTTTTACATTAGTAAGTTAATGTTTCAAATAAGCATTTATTTATTTTAATCACAAATATGCTTTACACTATTCATCTTTCATAAAACAAATTAGTTATTCACAAACTGAATGGGTAATTTTCAGTTATTTATTTTCTATAAAATGATATAAACTTAATTAGGAACTGTATAAATCCTACTTTCTATACATAATTACACACTGATAACCATTAGTGGGATTTCCTAAATTTAAAATTGGTAATTTTTAAACAAATCTATATAAAGTTTTTTAAATTTATTATTTATTTTTGGCTGAGTTGGGTTTTTGTTGCTGCATGAGGGCTTTACCTAGTTGTGGCGAGCAGGGGCTACTCTTCATTGCAGTGCGCAGGCTTCTCATTGCGGTGGCTTCTCTTGTTGCGGAGCCCGGGCTCTAGGCACACGGGCTTCAGTAGTTGTGGCA